GAATTGTTACTTTTCTCATTTATGAAGTGCTCTTAATTTCAACTAAGGAAGATGACTCGTTAACAAGTGCGAAAACGAGATCACGGCTGTTAGGCGGGCTAGTGATGGGAAAATACCGATTCAATCCCACGGTGGGGAACAGCACTCCGGGTGGCTTCCAGTGGCCGAGGCCTGGTTCTGCGCCTTACACAGCCCGTCCACGTCGCTCCCTTTCCCCAGATCCCTGGGGCCAGCTCCTTGAGGGGTCCCTGTCTGCTGCACCCACCTTCCTGGGGGGAGGCTACGAAACCGGTGCCGTTAACAATGTCAAATTCAAAAAGCAGTGAGCGACACAGAAATACAAAGAAATGCAGGGGAGCGAAGTGGGGAGCACGGGGCTTGGGTGTGGGTGGAGACAGGGAGCAGACACAGGGTGGGCGCGTGGCCCCAGCAGTCCGGATGGGGGCCGCGCCGGTGCAGGGTGGGGGCAGCTGCCCGCCCCTGCTGAGGTGAGGCCACTCGGCAAAGGGCTGGGCTGACGCAGAATCGGGGGCCATCGGGACCCTTGTTCCTCGCTGGCTGCTCTTCGTCCACCGCCCCCGCCCCCCCCTTGTTCTGCCCTGGTGTTTTTTACCTGCTATTTAGTGTTGCTCCAAGCAGAGGAAGACGTTCCAATTATGAGCATAAACGTTATGCTGTGTGATGCCAAGTTTAAGTACAAATGTGTGAATCTGCAGAAGCACACGGTGGCTCTCCTAGCTCAGGCGTGTGTAACTCTTACCCCAGCAGGTGAACTGCTACCCCCGCCTGGGCCTGAGCCCTCGGCTCGTGGCAGGGAGGGGACCCTGTGCCTCCTCGCGATCTCCCTCGCTTCCGCGCCATCGCCTCCCGCGTAAGGGGCCGCAGGGGAGTGACGTGCCGAGGACAGGACATGAAGGGCTGTGTCCAGAAACCAGAACTGGGGAGGGGAAAGGCATGTGGACGGGCGGGAGCGTGAGGCTCAGCCTTCAGAAGCCCCGGGATCCCCGATGGGATTTTTAAAAAGACAAGAAAAGACATGGCCAGTGACGCTACAGACACGTCAGACGTGAAGGCAGGAGCCAGGAGGCTGGGCGGCATCTCTGTGTCTGTGCTGCACACACCAAACCTGCCCGGCCGGCTCGGGAGGAGGAGCACGCGCTCCTGACCTCAAGGCTGTGAGTTCAAGCCCCATGCTGGGCGTAGAAAGTACTTAAGAAAGCAAAAACTAAAAAAAAAGAAGAGAAGCAAAGGAAAGACAATTTCAGACAGAAATGCCTGAGAGTGTCACTAAAATGCCTTCACTAGAGGAAATTCTGAAAGTTGCCTTTCGTGAAGAAAGAAAATGATCCCAGATTCCAAGATGCAAGAAGGGGTGAAGAACAAGGTGGTAACACTGTGGATAAACCTACGAGGCACAGACTCTGAGGCAAGACTCCCAGTGTCCTCTGGGATTAAAGGAGAGGAAGAGAGAGGCTGAACACGGGGAACCCCCACCCAAGTGCTCGAGGAGCCCGGCTTACGTGCCGGGGTGAGAATTCCCACTGACTTCAGACCTCACTAATCTTACTCTACGTTTCCAGGTGACTGCCGGAACCACTGAAGTGGGCTGTTAGCCTTCAAGTCGGCAGAGAGAGAGAGAGAGAGAGAGAGAGAGAGAGGTCAGTGAAGAAAAGAGCAGAGAGAAAAGTAAGCCAACGGCAGGACGACTAGAAAACAGAAGAGGAGGGACCAGCGTCCGCGGGCTGGACCGCTCAGCACTGGCCCCGTCACGTGGCCTCGAAGGGGCTCCTGTGTGGGGAACAAGGATAAAGTGTGTACGGTGTGTGTGTACACACACGCGCGTGCACACACACACACACACACAGAAGACAGGAAAAGCTGGGGTTCTGACGTCAGACAAAGCAGATCTGAGGCAAAGGCCCTGGGGACAGTGACACCCGGCACCCGTGGCACATGCGCTCTTTCAAAATACAGACACGTCACTTGTAAGAACTGACCACAAAAATTCTCATCACAGCGTAAGGCATTTAAAATGTGGAGGGGCGGGGCGCCTGGGGGCTCAGTGGTTAAGCGTCTGACTTCCCCTCGGGTCATGATCTCACAGTTCGTGGGTTCAAGCCCCGCGTCAGACTCTGTGCTGACAGCTCGGAGCCTGGAGCCTGTTTCAGATTCGGTGTCTCCCTCTCTCTCTACCCTCCCCTGCTCACAGTCTCTCTCTCCAAAAATAAGCAAACAGTCAAAAAAAATTTTTTTTAATCAAAAGAGAACTCAGAGGACACACGAATCGTGCAACCTGAACTGGATGGCGGTCTCACAGATTTCTCTGGAATTGTCCCTCCTGCACAGTAGGGGCGCTCCTGCCCTCACTCATCCGTAGAGAGATTGTCAAATAGTCGAAAGGCCAAAACACAAAGGAAATAAACATCAGAGCCCTAGGAGACACTGCCTGCTGAAGAGCACAAACCACAGTCCAGTCACAGCCGCGTGGAAGACGCTCTGGTTCCTGAACACAACTCAGGGCACGTGCTCCCTGGCTTACGACGCACCAGGTCCCCGCAAACCCGTCCTAAGTCAAGAATATCATTAAGCCAAAAATGCATTCCATACAGCTAACCGAGGGAACACCCCAGCCCAGCTCGCCCCCCCCCCCCAAGACTGTGGGAACGCTCACTTGGGCAGAATCGCCTACCACAAGCCTATTTGACGACAAAGTCGAATGTCGCCTGTGATGTACGGAGCGCTGTTCTGAAAGTGATGGGAATGGCTGTGTGGGCGCGGATGGTGGCAGGTGACTCGGCTGTGGACCCTCATGATCGCACGGCTGCCGGGAGCTGCGGCCACCGCCCGGGATCACAGCGGATCAGACCGCATGTCACTAGCCCTGGGGAAGATCCAAGTTCAAAATTCAAAGCGTGGTTTCTACTGCGTGTGTATCGCTTCCACACCATCGTAAAATCGAAAAATTGGAAGTCAAGCTGCTGTAAGTTGGGGGGCACCTGTACAGCTAAAACACAATTGCAAACAAACCCCTGAAACACAAGTGCCTGGGAGATTCACACACAATTGAACACCCGCACCGTTAGCCATGTGGATGCCTGTCGGCCGGGCGCCGCTTCCCTCACCGCGACCCCTCCCTTCCCGCGGGCACATTCCGAGGTCCGGCCATGGAGACGCAGCCCCAGGGTGACTTAAACCCTGCTCTGCCAGCTCGGCCCACATCACGGGCACACGAGGCACCCACAGAACAGAATACTCGCAGGCCACAGTCTGTAAAGACTGATTCCTGCACTCTTGGGGGCCTCCCTCTGTAACCACGAAATCACTTTTCTATCGAGGCACTGCTCCCAGTGTGTGTGTTCCTGAAAAATCACGCAGGACTTATGGGAAGATGGGCAAACCATCTAAAACCTGTGCAACTGTAATCAAAAGACTAGCAAAATAGTAACTGTCTTAATAAAAACCCTACTAAAGATTTAGACATGTTAGATTTCTAATAGACCAATAATGCTAGGGCTTTCCCTTTTTGAAAAGAAGGAATAGCATCTTGATGGCAGAACATATACAGAAAAGTTGAAGATTCCTAATTTCGGAGAAATCTGGGAGAGTCACACAGCAAAAATTTGCAAATCAGCGTACGGGCCAAGCAGAGTCTGGGGAGGGGAGGGGAGTGAAGGGTGCCGTGTGAAGCTACTTTGCAGTTAGCAAGTGTCTTCCTCCTCACCGGACCTGGGCGAGCTCCCGCTGCAAACACACACACGTAGCAGAACAGTCTGTAACCATTTTGCTTCTCCCGGCAATTTCAGTCCATTGCCATCAGGAGGCGATAGCACGTCAACCCACAGCCATTTGTCCTGAGATCACTGTTTTCCTAAATCCTTTTGCATCAAAAAGGCAGTACTTTATATTTTTAAAAAGTAGTACTTTATAAAAACAACCGAGCAGGATAGGGGCATTAGAGACCTCTAGTTAAGGACAATATTTTCAAAAGCAAACTTTTTTAAAGTTTGAGATAAAGTGTAATATGCTGCCTCCATATGGTAGACTAGCAAGGGAAACAGAAAGTTAAAGTAACTCCTAAAGATTGGGATAAGGGGGCACGCGCTGTCCATACATCAGTTACCCCCTATAGAGAGATTTTGAGGTTCTTAGGCAGTGGGAGTTTTCAGTTATGATGTTAGGGCTTCCTGAGGGAGGCAGAATGGGGAAGTAGTTTAAAAGAAGGGGACGATCTTTCTCTTGGGTTCCCTTTTTTTTTTTAAGGTTGTGCTATAATGATGGTTCATAACGTGCAGCCACAGAGGGAGGAGCTGGCGAGCACCGGCTGCGGGGCAGGGCGATAACAGCACTAATCCTGTGTCGTTCTGATTCCTCGCTCCTCTCCACTTCCTTTTCCCTCTCACTCGCTCTCAACTTTTAATGGCAGCGTATTCCTTGTTAACAGCCACCAAGACTCACAAGCAGGCGAACCTTTTTGAATCTCCTTGCATCAACTCTCTGACCATGACTCTATTAAGTAAACAACCTCATGTCTATTTCCCCCAAAAGTCTTTTATTTAAATGTTTATTCATTTTTGGAGAGAGAGAGGGAGGGGAGGAGCAGAGGGAGAGGGAGAAGGAGAATCCTAAGCTGGCTCTGCACTGTCAGCCCAGAGCCTGACGCGGGGCACAAATTCACAAACCCTGAGTTCATGACCTAAGTCGGAATCAAGAGTCAGATGCTTAACCGACTGAGCCACCCAGGTGCTCCCCTAAAAAGGCTTATTCAAAGGTTGAGACCGGAGGAAAGTTAGTAAAAAAGGCCGTGAGGACTCAAGGGGCTTCCCTCCAGCCTCCCGTGCCCCCCACTTCTGCTTCAGGCCACTACCTCCCGTGTCCTCCCCCCCACACCAGGGCGCTGCCTCACGTGTCCCCCCCCCACCCCCTTCGCATCAGGGCGCTGCCTCCCGTGTTCCCTCCCCCCGCCCCCCTGCATCAGGGCGCTGCCTCCATGTCCTTTCCAGTTCACAGAAATCAGCCACCGCATACTGTGCTCCTACCACACGGACATAGACGAGCTATTTTCGGAAATCGACCACTGCCTGGCCGAAAACCGAAGTGTCCTCCGGCAGCTGGAGGCCAGGTGTGGCCGCGAGCTCACAGAAGGAGACTGGGAGAAGATCCAGATGCAGGTAGAGGCGTGGGTCCCCAGCCGGAAGCGGCAGAGCCCCCGGGAGTCTGGGGGACTCTAGGGGGTGGCGTGGGGGCCCGGCGGTGCCAGGCCCGCGCTCCCAGCCCTGGCTGTGCCGTCCGGTCCGGGGTGAGGTCAAGGCCCTGCAGCTGCAGGCTGCTTTGATGGTGCCTCTTTGTGAGCGGTGGAAGCACCAAAGGGAAACCCGGCCCCCGTGTCCTTCACGCCCGGCCGCCCTCCCCGTGTCTGCAGGAGCCGTGCAAGGCGGGAGACTCAACTCAACAGAGGGAAAACGTACTTAGAAGATCATGAAAATAGGAAAATCTATACAGAAATTTAGCAGCTATCCAGGGTCAAGGATTTTGAAAAAGGCTACTCTTTATTGCTTAATTAAAAGGAAATCTATGTCATTAATGCTCAGCATTTTATAAAGTACTTTTGTTTGCTTTAAAATTGCTTGTAAATGGGCACCCAGCTGGCTCAGGCAGAAGAGCATGCAACTCTTTTTTTTTTTTTTTTTTGCTCATTTCTTCCTTTATTTAAGTTTATTTTGAGAGAGAAAGAGAGAGAGAGAGAGAGAGAGAGCGTACAAGTGAGGGAGGGGCAGAGAGAGAGAGAGAGAAAGATCCCAAGCAGGCTCTGCACTGTCAGCACAGAGCCCGACACGGGGCTCAAACTCACAAACCGTGAGATCATGACCCGAGCTGAAGTTGGACGCTTAACCGACTGAGCCCCCAGGCGCCCCAAGAACATGCACCTCGTCTTGGGGTCATGAGTTTGAGTCCCGTGCTGGGTGTAGAGATTACAAGAAAGAAAAGAGAAAGAAAGAAGGAGACAGAAGGAGGGAGGGAGGAAGGAAGGAAGGGAGGAAAGGAGAAAACAAACCTTTAAAACAAAGTGCTCACCGCAGTGAGTTACTATCGGTGTCCGTGTTTCCCAAGAGTAACAGTGTCTGTGTACTTAGTGTTCCTGTAACACAGGATGGAACCTCATCATAGCCGCGGCGAGAACGGCCGCGTCTCTTGGTGTGTGGTTCTCCCTTAAACTTAGGAATCGTCCCATTACGCCCCGCACGACACACTCACTCCCCTCCTGTGCCCCAGGCTCTGCACCGGGAGGCGCGGGAGTGCCCCATCTGCCTCGCCCCGCTGCCCACCCTCGGCCGCCGTCGCCAGGATGCCGTGGAGACGCCCCCCGGCCCGCCCTCCCGGGAGACGGTCCTCCTGTCCTGCTCACACGTGTTTCACCACACGTGTCTCCTCGCCCTGGAGGAGCTCTCCCTGGGGGACAGCTGTCTTTTCCATGCCTGTCCCCTCTGCCGCTCTTGTTATCAAAAGAAAATTCTAGAATGTTGAATTCGGAAGAAAAACTGTCATTCCTGGGGGGGTGGGGGGTCACGTTTACCTTAATTTCGTAGAAACTGTATGAGTTTGGAGTTAAGTGCTATGGTGTAATCTGTTCTCTGATGAAATATGTTCTCAGTAGTTGTAGGGGGGGAACCCTAAATATACCCAGTTTTAGTCTTTAGTCTATAAAAATTTCAAATTGATGAGCTTAATCAGTTGAAAGAAGTAAGGAATGGATGGAGTCAAGTTTCAGAGGTTGTGTAAGTTAGCCGATGAGTGGGGATTGCTCCTAACAGCGAAATCTCTCCCTTCCCTCCAGGGTCTCTCCCTTCCCTTCCCTCCAGGGTCACCTGATTAGCTGGCCCATCTCCCCGAGTCGCGGAGGCCCCAGGGGTGGGGGGCCCAGGCGACACCGCACAGCTGCTGTCCGCCCCGCAGGCTGGGAACCCAAGAACACGCCTTACATTCTCGGCCGCCCCTTGCCCTTCCCAGTTCTCGCTTTGTAGGAACTGCTTTATTTCCGTGTGACAAGTCACTGCTGTACTTCGCTGCACACGTGTAAACCCAAAGTACAAAAATAAACTATTCCGGGCGTTCAACTTCAGGAGACGGCGAGTCACATTCTTCCCGCCTGGAGCCACCGCGCTATAGCTGGCACGCGGGGCCCTGGACCTGCTGTGGTCAGAAGTGCGTGGCCCCGGCTCCCTCTTCCTGGGACCCCTGCTCTCCACAGTAGGGAGTTCTGTGTGAACCCTGAAGCCCCTGGGTTGTGCGAGCCAGGTCCCCGCTGCCGTAGCAGAGAAGGCCCCAGGTCTCCATGGCTTCCCGGGAAGCCTGTTCTGTCTGAACCTCACAGCCCCCGGCAGTCGTGGTGGGGGGGGTGCTGAGGGGGTGCAGAGGGGGTGGGGTGGGTGCTGAGGGGGTGCTGGTGTTTGAACCACACAGACCCTGGCAGTTGTGGGGGGGTGGGCGGTGAGGGGGTGCTGGAGGGGCAGGGGGGGCAGAGGGGGTGCTGGGGGGTGCTGAGAGGGGTGGGGGTTGCTGAGGGGGTGCAGATGGGGGCGGGGATATGGAAGGGGTGTGGGGGATGGGGATGTGTGGAGTGGGTGAGGGGGGCAGGGGGTGCTGAAGGGATGTGGATGGGGGTGGGGGTTGCTGAGGGGGTGCTGAGGGGGGTAGGGGTTGCAGGAGGGAGGGGGTGTGTGGAGAGGGTGCAGGGGGGTGGGGTGCTGAGGGCGTGTGGGGGAGGCAGGGGGTGCTGAGGGGGCAGGAGGTGCTGAGGGGGGCGAGGGTGCTGAGGGGGTGTGGGGGGTTCTGAGGGTGTGCTGAGGGGGGCGGGGGTGCAGAGGGAGGGGTGCAAGGGGCACATGGAGGGGAGCTCTAAGAGGCCTCTGGCTCCCCGGCTCCCCCGCCCGGAATCCGTGGACGCTCTGGTCGCTGGGAGGGGGGAGGTGCCCCCTGGGCCGCTTCTGTGGCCGGCACGGTCCCCGCGGCACCAGCCACCCGCGGGGCCGAGGGGGCGCAAGCAGGAGCCCAGCAGAACGAGAGCGCAGGCGCCAAGCCCGGTGCGCACGTGTCGGGGCAGAACGATCCAGGCCTCAGGCGGGAAGATCCGAGAATGCACAGGCTCCTGATAGGCTTCATCACTAGCTTTACACACACGCATCCCTTATGCATGAACACACGTGCGCTCGACATCTTTTAAATGATGGTCCCACGGCAAAATGTGGACAAAGTGTGTCCACAATGTGTTAACAGTCTAGCCCCCCCCCCCCATATGTCCCGGGCCCGGCAGACGGTACCGAACCCTCGTTTTCTGCACATCTTCCCCTGCGCGTTCGCGCCTGTGATCCAGGTTAACGTACAAATCAGGCTGTAGTAAAAACTGCCTAGAAATGAAGAGAACGACGTGCGGAGACAAAAGTCCCGGAGCGTGGTCTCCGCAGAGCTCGGGCCGCGCCGGGCTCCCCGGTGACGAGACGGGGCCGAGCGTCCGGCTCTCGCGTCAGGAGGCTCGGCGGCGCCGGGTCGCGGCTGACTGGGCAACGGAGTCCGTGGCGAGACTACGGCGGGGGGGGGGGGCGGGGAGACAAGCTGTGGACAGTGAGCTCTTCCGTCCTGACGGAGACCCTCCCACGTGCCCCCGAGGGCCGGTGGGGCGGCCGGGTGTCCGTGCCCGCCCGACAGACAGGCAGACAGAGCCCGTGAGCGAGGCCTGGGCCGCCCCACCCACCCCCCCCCCCCCCCCCCAGAACCTGGAGGGACGGTCATCGCTCAGGGATGGCGGGTCCCGAGGCCGGTGTGTGGCCGCGTCCCGGCGCCTCTGGTCCTCGGCCCGACGACAGACCCCGCGCCCCGCCGAGTCCGTGCGGCTCGCGTCCAGCGGCCTCCCCCGCCGAGCGGGCGGCGTCCGTCTGCCCCGGGCAGCCGAGTGCGTCGGGGGCCAAGGACGTGGGGGACCAGAGACGCCGGGGAGCCGGGGGCGGCACCTGGAACCGGTCGCCCCTGGGGGCGAGGGCAGCGAAGATCCCGGGAGCTCGGGAATTCCCTCTGGAACGGGCCTCCCCCCAAGGCCCCGGGAGACCCGTGTCTCAACCGCGACAACAAACCAGGGTTCACGGAGCAGCCGCCTCTGGGCAGCTTGGCGGCGGCGACGCGTTTCCAGGTCGCGTCACAAACAGCAGGCGGACTGTGATTCGTCACCTCACAGCCTCAGGGCCGAGAGCGGGAGGCACGGAGGGCGCGGCAGGGAGGGTCCCGTGACGCTATTGGACGCCATCACCGTAACCGTTTGCACACCGCCGACCCCCGGGCGCTCGGCTTGTCACGGTTTGGGGGCCGGGACCGCCAGAGCCGCCGCTGGAACAGGGCTCGCGAGGCCACACGGCGACCTGTTTGCTGGGGGGGGCGGGGGGGGGGGCCTCGGCTCCAACCGGGGCGTCAGCTGGATTCAAGGAGGCACCGCGAAGGTGGGGCCGAAGAGGAGGAAGCAACAGGAGTGGGGACCGAGGGGGCGGGGCGGGGGGGCCACGGGGCCACCCCCCGCCCCGTCCGGAGCAGTCGCGGCACGTGTGGCTCCGAGCCCTCGTCTGTTACACGACGCATCACGCCCGTGAGTTAGAAAACAGGCAAGTGATCAGAAAGGGACTCCTCGTTTCACTCATTTCTCTTCCGGTTTCCGCACTGGTGACCGGGCGGCCGCAGGGGGGCGCCCGCAGCTCTGGGGTCGGAGCGGGGTCGGGGGCACGCGTCTCCGGCCGCCGCCCCCTGGGAGCCACCCCCCAGCAGCACCGCGGGCGGGGCCCGGCCACGGGGGCACCGGCCACGCGTCCCGCCTCGCGACGGCGCTGCTCACACTCGCCGCGCCCCATAGCACGCGGACAGCACTCGCCCGGACGTGCCCCGGCGCTCGTGCTTCAGGGGCGGGTGGTAAAATGCTCGCCGGGGGCAGCCCACCGGGCACCTCCCTGCGGAGGGTCCGCTTGTCCGTCTAGAATACCCGTCAGGGCGAGTAGTTCACGCAGGTCTGGTGGGAAATCGTTCCTCGCGCTGTTCTCATAAATCCTGGTTAGCGGCCAGCTCACAGTTCACGCCCCGGTGAGTGCCAGGAACATCTGCCCCTGTCACACGACGCCATCTGCACGTGCACAGATGGACAAGAGCATGTTAGGTATAGTCGGCCACCTCCTGGAGAGGCCGAATGCCACGCAGGGTATCTGCAGGGAGCTGTTCTGACCCCCCTCTGAGGTGGGCCGCGAGCAGCACCAGAATTCAACATAAATACAGAACATGGCACAGGGAATACGGTCAACGATCCCTACGGTGGTGGCTGACGGTAGCTGCACTCGGGTGAGCACAGCCTAACATCTAGGCAAGCTGAGTCACTGTGCTGTGCCCCCGAAACGAATGTAACATGTGTGACAGCTCTACTCAAAAACCGTTTTTAACAAAAAATTCAAACAAATAAATAATACGTGCCTCTGACCTCTTATTCTAGCAAACTAGGCAAACTCAACTGCCTTCTGCAGCCAAGCAGGTAACAGATGAGTGATGAAAGCAGCTGTTATTGCCATGATTCCAAAACGTGGAACTTAATGTTGTCAGATTCTCTAATGTTTCGAAAGAATGTGTCTCAATCAAACGGTGTTTCATCTTTCGGCACTGACGACAATATGCTAAATAAAAAATCGGTGAAACAGGCAGCCCAGAAACAAACCCGCGCATATATGGTCAAGTGATTTGCAACAAAGGAGCCGAGGACATACAACGGGGAAGGAACATTCTCTGCAAAAATGGTGCGGGGAAGCTGGACGGCCACGTGCAAAAGAATGAAACCGGGCCACGCTTTTACAGCGCACACAAACGACAACTCAAAATGGGTTAGGGCTCTGAACATAAGACCCGAAACCATAAAATTCCTGGAACACGTACAGGCTGAGCTCTTGGACATCAGTCTCGGCGAAGACTTTTTGGACCTGACACCAAAAGCAAAGATGACAGAAGCAAACATAAACAAGTGTGGGCGACATGAAGCAACAGCTTCTTCACAGCAGAAGAACCGACTGGCGAGTCATACACCTGCTACAGGGTGAACAGCCAAACTATATAAAGAATTCAAACAGCTTAATAGCAAAACAAGCAATCCGATTAAAAATGGGCAAATCTAAATAGGCACCTTCCCAAAGACCCACAGCCAGTCAAAGGGCACACGGGGAGATGCCCCCTACTGGTGGGAGGGCCCAGTGCTGCAGCCACCGTGGATCGCGGTACGGAAGGTTCCGCAAACATTAAAAATAGAACTACCATGTCATTGAGCAATTCCACTTCTGGTACTTGTCCAAAGAAAATGAAAACACTAATTCAAAAAGGTATCAGTACCTCCATGTTCACCGCATTATTCACAACAGCCGAGATACGGGAACAGCCCAAGGGTCCGTCGATAGATGAATGGATAAAGAAGATGTGGTGCACATGTACCACGCAATATCATTCGGCTACAAAAGAAGGGAAATCCTGCCAATCGGGGCATGGATGGACCGCATTCTAAATATGTCAGAGAAAGACAAGTACCACTGGATCTCTCTTACATGTAGAGTCTAAAAAACAACAAAAAACAAATTCACAGATACAGAGAACAGATTGGTGGTTGCCTAAAGCAGGGAGTGGGGGTAGGCGAAATGGGTGAAAGTGATCAAAAGTACACACTTCCAGCTATAAGTTCTCCAGATCTAAGGGACAGCGTGCAACGATAGTTAACAAGACTGTATTGTGTATTTAAAAGTTGCTTAGAGTAATTATTTTTTAAATTTTTTTAATGTTTTATTTATTTCTGAGAGAGAGAGACAGCATGAGTAAGGTGAGCAAGGGAGGGTCAGAGAGAGAGGGAGATACAGAATCTGAAGCAGGATCTAGGCTCTGAGCTGTCAGCACAGAGCCCAACGTGGGGCTCAAACCCATGGACCATGAGATCATGACCTGAGCCGAAGTCGGACGCTTAACCGACTGAGCCACCCAGGCGCCCCTGCTTAGAGTAAATCTTAAAAGCTCTCATCACAAGAAAAAAAGTGTGTAGCTGAATGGTGATCATTTCACTATATATATATT